GTGTAAATTGATGTTATCAGTGTCCCGATACAAATACAAAATTTATAAAACTTCTTTACAATCCCTTTAATTGATTGATTAATAGAAATGACAAGTTTAAAACTCTTGAAAATAGTCTGATTTTAAATTGATCATTTTATATCACAACTAGTCAGTAAAAATGAATGATACTTGACAAATGCCCAAAAAATTGAAAAAATTGACTGTGCCATCATTAGGCCACAATTCAACTTTCATTTAATCAACAAGAGAGTATCACACCTGGAAGTTTAAACTTCGTCAATCTATCACCAAGATAACCGCCCAGAATCAGTCACACCTTTCCCCCCCCCCGTTAATTCCAACATATCCACAATTCACCAGCCAAAATAGCCAATTACCTGACTTGTTATCTCTGTTTTCATTGGTTGTAATAAACTTATCTATCAATCATTCTAAAATTAGTAACAGTGGGTGAAACCTGCATTTCCAAAAAAATAATTCACCTTACATCTTTTTCTACTCAGTTTATACAGTTGAAGATGATGATATAAATTTGATAATACAAGGCAAAAGTAATAGGGATAACAATGGGGGAGTGGTCAGAGTGAGTCTATAGGTCTACATCTGATAACCTCTTGCCAATTAAGTCTCTTTAACAATTTGTATATTTTTTCATCTCTTAACCGCGATAATAATTTTGTTTCCTTCAGACTGGTGGTTGGCATGCACCTTTTATTTTGTATAATATATGACTTTCAATTTATAGATTGACTTTTGAATTATAGGTTAGAGTTAGGTACTTGGTAATTTCGAGGTACCAAAAACATATCTTAAACTATATCTTTTTGATTTTGTAAAGAGACACTGTAAATAAATCAATCACTGCTGAACTGAGAGTTTTTCTAGTCTTAATTCTCACTTGCTGGGGCCCAATCTTGACTTAAGATTATACATATTTCCGTTTTCACCTTTTAATCATTTACCATTGTAAAAAGTTATTTCAACACTGAGTGTATGAATGCAATTTAAAAAGGTAGATGGTAAACGTGTCTGTTTTCTACGTGATCTAGTTAGTGAAAACTTGTTACAGAAAACTGTAACAATTTAACAATTAATCTGAGAAAATTAATGTCAGAAGTAGGTAATTTAAGGTTAAAACGATGTTAAAACGAGATATTTCCTGCACAGAGGGCGCCCTCAACCTGTCAAAACTATAAAACTATGATAGTTATAATTGAGTAAATTGACGAAAACGATGTCTTAAATTTCCTCTGACACGTATTTCCTTTTCAAAATTATTTCATTAAATTCTCCTAGGTTGTCTACCGAGGGCGGTTAATTGAATTAAATGCATGAAAAATATGTAAACTAAACAACATTTGTAGATGGGTGGTCACATGGTTTATACTTTGTTATATCTTAATGTTGAAAATTTCTAATTCTAATTTTTTAAAAAAAATAAAATGAAATGAAATGGAGTTTTACGTCCTACTTTTCTGCACCATCTAATTCTTTGAAGGGTTTGTAAAGAGGTTTTCTAAATTTTAAATGTGCATCAGGGACACTACTAACATAGATTGGCACCATTCTTATTTTTAAAAGTCAGATATATATTTTCCTGCAATTCCACTATAACTAAGCTGTCATAAAGGCCCTTAGCTATTATTAGCATCTTTTGTAATAGTGACATAAAAAATCAATTAAAACCCTAGCACAGCTTGTTGTTAGGTTAGGTTTATTTAAAAATGTGTACATGCAAAACATTTCTGTTACCAAAAATCTCATCCGAAATAAGACAAACTAGCATAGTAGTGAACTCCTCAAACAAGAAGTACCATCAGGTGTTTATATAGATTGAAAAAAGGGGAGATAATCTTACCTGAAATGAACAGTTAAATATTGTCCTGTAGAATATAAAGTAGGAGGTAAAATGTTGCCACAGAGACCGGTATTTCCGTTTGCCTCTTCCTGAAAAATACAATAAAAATATACCATCAACATTTTTAACAAGGAAAACAACTTGGGTTTACGCTGATCCATCCCAGCAGCTGGTCTTTGGCAAAACCTCTTGGTATTGATCTTTACCAGATTATATCAACATTTGATGAAACACAATTAAGAATGTAAATTGATGGATTTGATCAGGCTTCTCATCTACAATCTATAGACTAATTTTTCATCCCTTTAAGAATTTTTGGAGAAAAAGAAACGTAATAAATAAATCAAAGTCAAATTTGGAGTTCAAATCAGACATGGCTGGCAAATACAAGGGGTGAAAGCCGAAACTGGGCCGATACTTGGAAACACCGACACATTAATCAGAATTTTTAGGGAAATTCTTAGTCAAGAGGCCATATTCTCGAATCTTAAATTTAAAATGATTGTAATCTTTCAGTCATCTGATTGGTCAATCACTAAAACCAATTTCAAATTTCTATTTATCATCCAATCATTATTACTGTATTTCCTAAAATTTGGAATTTTCTTTTAGTTAAGTTTTGAAAAATACAAACCCTGATAATATTTAGAATTAGTATTAAAAAAATCTTAATTCTTATCATCTCATTCTCAATTCATCAGAAACCATAATTTAATCGGAGGAAACCTGAGTTTCAACTTCTAATTTTATGTCATTTTTTTTTTATAAGCCAGCAGATTTTCTGATAAGATGAAAGGAAAATGAGTTTTTGGGTTGTTTTTTAAAGTTTTGTTTCACTTCCTTCAGACAGAATTAATATATCTGATGTTACGTTTTAGCTTTGGCTATATATTTTTTTGGAGATATGCTTACATTATTGAAGTATTTTGTCAGAAAGAGAAAAACTCCAGGACAATCTGAGATTTTTATAGAATCAGTAGAAGATGTTCATCTATTTTTGAGAATCTGCAATGTTTCTAATTAAACTATCTCAACATACAATATCTAAGGGTGTATATTAAAACCAGAACTTCAATATAAAACAATTCTATTACTTGGTTAGTTATTAACCTATTTTGGAGAATCCACACTGTTTCAATAACTGTTTTTAAATATCAGTATGGGACCTATATAAATGATCATAACTAGGAATTACTCATGAGTATAATAATCATTAAGGGCAGTGGTTCTTAACTTTTTTTTAGCCTTCACACTCCTGGAGCAATCACCTGAAACTTTCACACCCCCAAAAATTGTTTCATCCATATTTCCAGCATGTGATGATGTGAGGTGCTCTCTCAACTCAAAATAAAATCTTCTCCTACACCAGTTGGCCACACCCCTGACACCCTAGTCCCACACCCCTGACACCCTAGTCCCACCCTGACACCCTAGTCCCACACCCCTGACACCCTAGTCCCACACCGCCAGGGGGTGAAAACACCCCAGATTGGGAACCGGGGATTTAGGGTTTCGAGAACATACAGGAATGGATAATTTGTTGAGTTTGTTAGAAGCAAATCTACAACTATTGCAACATTTCAGTACCGTATATGTCTAAAAAAAATCTTGTTGAATTAATAACATATTTTACAAAATTCACAATGTTTCAAAACTATTTCGATATTTTGGTAACTATGGATATAAAGACCACCATAACTTCTGAGTATATTATTTATCAAATTAAAAGCACAAATAACTTGAGTAGCAAAAAGGATTTATAATTCGTTCAGTTAGAACACGATAATTTCACAGCCAACTTGTCATTGAAGTAGCTAAATTTTACAACTCACTGACTGTCAATAGTTTATTTCAAATATTGAAACGATTTTATCTTCTTCGCTACAAAATAGATTTAAGCTTTAACATATATTTCTCTCAGATCATTGCGAAAATAAAATGGAGGTTTACATTCTACTATTCTGCTCCTGAATTTGTTTTTGAAATGAAATTGCAGTTTTATGTCTGGCTTTTCTCTACCTTATTGGATTAATGAAATGAAATTGAGTTTTACATCCTATTTATCTGCCTGTTAGGAATAATGATGGAACACAATACACAATACACTATGTAATCTCCATGAAGGATGCTGATACCAACCAAAAACAGATAAACAGGGATGATTAATTTATAAACCAAGCCTGTAGACTCTCTGATCCTAATAACTAACTTTGCGAACTCTCTAAAAGGTTTATTACATTGACAACAAACCCAGTAGTAAAATGGAGCAAATAAACGCTTGTACTCACCATGGCTCTGGCATAAATTGAGCTTTCATCGTAAACATAGAGGGCATCGTTACATAATCCCGTGCTAGTCCTATCAGGAATATCTAACTCAATAATCCGTAACATTAATCTCCAGTCCTTATTCTCCGCTTTAAACGTCATCTGACACTCGATGTCATTACCGTACACGGTGCTTACGTCACCACGGAAATTAGAATACACAGTAGCTCCACCTATATGTTTACTGTCACCGCAATCTAACCCTTCCATATAATCTGGAAATAGAAAATTGCATATTTTTAATTTTTAAACTTTCTGGGAACATAATTCTATGGCATAATACTCCTGAGTTTTATTGTACACAATGTTTCTACAATTTACATTGTCATCATCAGTTTATATGGTATACTACTCCTTGAGTTTTATTGTATACAATGTTTCTACAATTTACATTGTCATCATCAGTTTATATATTATACTACTCCTGGGTTTTATTGTATACAATGTTTCTACAATTTACATTGTCATCATCAGTTTATATGGTATACTACTCCTGAGTTTTATTGTATACAATGTTTCTACAATTTACATTGTCATGATCAGGCGAAATGATAAATGTTTGGTCATATGTATTTATATTATGTAGCCAAATATGGTAATGTTGCTTCATGTTTTTTAGGTGAGGGTTTGAGCAGCTAGAGCATAGTACAGAGCGTGTACAGATTTTTAATACTTGATGAAAAAAATGTCGGGTCATTCTTTACCAATAGAAATTTTGAGTGGAATGAAATTTTGTCATACTAAAAATAGTCATATCATGAGCAATAAGAAAAGTATAAAAGCAGGTTTAAGAAATGCACCAGTACAATAGCTGATCTATTTTTAGCTTAAAAGCCTCAGGGGAAAGCGAAAGTAGTGCCATATGTTTGTTGGTTTTAGTAAATGTCTGAAGATAAACATATTTCCTGTTTTAGTTGGGAGGTGAAGACAAGAAACGTAAATAAATAAACATAATACAGATTAAATACAGATCAGTTCTTTTTATCTTAAAAGGATCGTAATCAAAATGGTCACAGAAATATACACTCGCTGACTTCTTATTTTAACGAAGCTGAGAGTATACCGCGTGAAGAGCCCCCTTGAAAATATATAGCAAGTGAGATCAAACCTTTCAGCACGAACCTGATGTAAAGCTAATTTATATGTAAAAACTTGGAGACAACTGAACACCTATTTTTGGCCCTGTACAGAGCATGAGATAGCAGTGTTAACAAAGGTGCTAAAATAAAGTATCCAATGTGGAGATCTCTCATAAAAATTACAAACAAGTGAGATCATAATTTAGAGCAAGCACCTTATGTAAAGCTAGATAAAAACATAGTTAAGTCAGTGCTGTACACCAATCTTTACTCCTGTACAGAGATGACAAATCTTAGCTAGCAGGGGGCTGACAAAGAATAGAAAATGCAAATTAGTCTTCACTAAGCATCGTATTACACACACTAACTCGCTAAAATAGATGCTGAACAAATACATGTTGACCCCAAGGTCATTTGCATCTCATTATCCTTTTATTCCTCTGATTTGTCAACTCAAATATTTAACGTTACTTGTCAAAAATTGAGATGGCTCGGCTTGGGTTTCATTCAATTGTGACAAACCTTTATGTTTCACCTATTTTAAGAAATTTCTCATTTACACACAACTGATACCAGTTGTTGATCTTTAAGTCAGTTTTCAAAATTTCAAAAGAGATTTAGTTTGTCCAACTACATTTTCTGACATATTTTTCTCTATTGTCCTTGTAAGAGGTTTTTTGTCCAAATAAAACAGCAAACCACAAAAATTATACAATTTAAATTGGTACATTGTAACACTATGAAGTTATCCAACAGTAAATATACTCTAGTAAACATCGTAATGTACCGTTGACAAGTTGACCCTATTTCAAGGACCCTGGCTGAAAAGAACGACCCATTATGAGGGGCTTATTGTGTTGACTCACTCTCATAACAAGGGGTGACCCTAATTAAAAAGGTTTTAGGAGAAAAAGGATAAGTGACAGTCTATAATATCTTTATCATCAGTTTTTACCTGTCAAGCCTCTAATCATGTCCCTTGACAGCTTTGAGATCCTTTTTTTCATAAGAGGATAACCCCTACTTATAAATCCCTTGTCTGTAAAAACCATACATGACACACTTCACTGGTCAAAGACATAGGAAAACTGGGCTTAGAATTTTCATTGTGAATAGACGAAATTGCTAAATCAAATAATTAGATGACAAGGTACAGAAAAAGACATAAAACTATTTCATTTCATCAGCCCAATAAGATAAACAGTAGGACTCAGTATTCCTTTTCATTTCATTATTGCAATAAGGTATAAAACTGTAGGCTTCAGAACTCCTTTTCATTTCATTATTGCAATTAGGTATAAAACTGTAGGCTTCAGAACCCCTTTTTATCAGCCAAAAAATAACCAGAAGAGTCGGATCTAAAAGCCTCTTTCCTTTAGCCCAAAAATAGACAGAATAGTAGGATTTAAAGCTCCATTTAGTTTTCAGGTAGAGGGAAAGCATGTGAGAGATAAAACTCTGCTACAGTTTCAGTTGTTCATCCTAAAGATATTTTAATCAAATTATCCCACTAGATAGATAGCTGATAACTCAATAAATATTTATTGTTATACAAGGTAGAACAATGTTGTACAATTACAACAATAGGCCTGATATACTGTGATATATCTAAATTATTGGAAAGGGAGTAATAACACTGCTCTCGATTCATCCATTCTTAATAACATAGAAATATAGCAACATACTAAACCTTCAATCCAATGTGAACATCCATAAAATGAAAATGACAAAATCAGGTTGATTGAAATGCTACATGAATGAGGCCAATCCAGATTATGACTGACAAGAGGAAATACTCTTTCCCAAAGCACATGCCCCTATAGCAGCGAAAAGGACAGTAAGTCTATACCTAGTCTTAGAGCTGTACTAGACTCCGCTGTGGCCCAACTTGACAGCTTAGGTTTGATCCCAAAACAGGTAGGTTTTGAGGTGCTTAAGATCTTCATAGAAATGACATGGAAACCATGTCTAGCTTTTCCTGGTAGGGCCAATAGACTGAAACATCATGAGCAACAGACTTTGCATGTCAATCATATTTTATTTACTGTTGGGTAAGCTTATGCCAAGGTCCTGCTAAAATTTCCCTCATTCTTCACTTTATGGCATTGTTTCCTTGTCAATGACAGTGATAGAACCTGTTTCATTGCACACAATATCTGTATTGAATATAAATTGGGTTTGAAATTTAGGTCTGACAAATTGAGCTTAAAGCATAGGTACTTATGTAAACTGAAGAAATTAGACTTAAATTTTCAAAGGTAGGATTACTTTTACAATAGAATACATAACAATAACTATATTTTCTAAGACAATTACTACTACAATGTAGAACAATGTTTCACTTAGTGTAACAGAAAATTATTATCTGAATACACAGATAACATCATAAAACTTGTATTACAACAGAATTACGGCTGTGACAATGTCAAGTTTTTACGAGAATCCAAATCAAGAAATATTACTGATGAAAAACGAAATGGTTCGATAAAGAGAAAGATAGAATGAACTCTTCGTCTCCATGTTGACATCCTTGCTGAACGATTACGTTTTTTACACATTCAGTTTTTACAATTCGATTGCCTCTAATGTGTCTGTGTATTATTCGACAGTAAAAAAGTCGTAAAATTTCGTCGATCAAAGAATAACAATAAATGCTATTCATGAATTCATTCGACGCGTGCGATTTCGTAGCATTCTATCGTTTACAAGTTCGTTTCTGTGCGCGCTTCAATGAATTTCAGCTCATAAAAATCATCCAAGCGAAACTAATGGATTCTTTTTTTATGAGGAATAATATATGCGATAAACAGAAGAAAAATAGCTTACAGTTTTGTGTTCGTTTTCCATACGAATCGCTGAATAAAAGGGTAAAAATCCAAATTAACCACAGTAAAGTGAAAGACCAGTCATGGCTTATCGCCATGTTGGCTAAAAACTGCCGTCTGATAGAAAGTGTAGCGCCCTCTATAAACAAAGAGTGGCAGACGTGTACAGGTGCGTGTCGACTACACGACAGATCTACCAACCGACACGCGACAATTACAATATATTAATAACTCATCATTATTATTACAATTTTATTACCATTTCTCTTTATAACAATAATTTCCTGGGAGGGGAGGGATGCAATTTCTCTTGACATACAGAAATATTGATGTCCGCCCTTTCTGTTCGAGTTTTTTCTGCTAAATGTCCAAATCTAAAAAAAAGTCATTTTTTCGATGTTCAATTCGCCTTCACTATTTATGGGCCAATAAAAACTGTCAAATAATTTCCTGGGTGGGGAAAAAATTTCTTTTGACACCTATTAAGATTGATGTCCGCCTTTTCTGTCCGAGATTTTCTGTTGAATGACTGAATCTAAAAAGCCTATTTCTCTAAGTTAGATACGGCTTTGTCGTAGGCCTATAGAAATTGTCAATACATACGTTATTAGCAGTCTATTTCAAAGCGATGAAATTGGGTATTATTAGTTGTCAAATGGCATCAGGTGTCCCAGAAGAATAAGAATTCCAAAATGCAAATGTCCCCAGTAGAGGGTTTTGGGTGGACGGTCATACAGCCTGTCGTAAAATAATTAGGTTGGAAAAATCAAGATTGGTTACTTGTCAGACTATGAGTATAAAGTGTAACCTACAGAAAAATAACGAGAGTAGGACAAAACATCTAGATCATTTCAATCAGATTGCACAGAGACTACTCCAGCTTTTTCGAACTGTTAAGCCATATTATATAGTATACCGGAACTTGGTATTTTGTCAATACCTATAACGAATCTATAGCAAAAAAAAAAAAACCACACAAAACACCTCTCCCGTTAGCTGTAAAATAATATCGCTTGGATACACACACTTGAAACACTTAACAGTCTTGCACGAGACACTTTGAATTGGAGAAAATCAGATCCGAGAGTTTTCTAAAGAGCAGAAATTAATTGTGGTAAAAGCAGCATCATTCGAGTTACTTCCCTTATACCTCTTTTTTGTTTCATATATAGATAGAATAATATAATATACTCTCTGATATTACGGTTGCCCATACAAATTACAATCTCGTTGAAAACTTATATGGTGGGGACAGGTCATGAGAATATAGACTTATGTCGTTTGAAACAATGGATCTTGTGTGTCAATATATCTTGAAAGAACCAATTTTTCCCATAAAATTTTACGATTGCTTTTTGAATATACGTTTATAAGAGTGGGGGAAGAGAAACGCACATACCTGTCACTTTCAGGAAGAAATCTCGACAAGCATGGCCTAGGCCTAGTCATATCTCAAATCAACCATGAAGTATTCATATATAATATGCAAATGGTCCCGCAAACTTCGTCTCATCGAGGTTTCAATGAATGGAACAGAAGTCAGATTGAAGAAATACTACAGATCTTCACTCTCCAAAGTTGGTGTAAAAAGTGTGGTATCCAACACACACGGTAGCTAGGGTAAAGATGAAGACAGCTCACCCCAGACGACAAAGAGAAAGGTATATCCCAAGATAAAAATTGAAACAACCAAGGGGTGTTTACAGATGATTGGTTTGAGCCATGAACAATCATCAGACTGAACAGAAATCAAGGGAGATGAACACTATTCTCTCCCCTATTACTCGGCGTTATAAGATACTAATGGGTTCAGTTTGTTTGTTTTTTATTTATTTTTTTATAAAAATATGTCACTTTCAATTTGATTCTAGAAAATCACAACTGTATCAGTGATGATATTATAAATCTTATCAAAATTTGTAGGCCTAGGCTACAACGTATTTTATTATCATTCCATTTCGACAACCTTAATTATTTTACTCTCTTTAAACGATAAACATGTACCAGGCCTCTTTAAGCAAATGGGAGATAACTCTATTCTAAAATATGGTGGCGCTGTATTCAAGATGGAAGCCAAACACATGGAGCAGGTAAACATTGAACAGATTCTATCAAAATTTCACTGATTGTGGGACTTTTGTGGCGAAATGATCATACTGTACACCCAAATCATTAATCTTGATCTCCAGTCGGACATGACTGGTAGATACGATGCAGCCAAATCAACACGACAACTTCTAAAAATGTAGTACCCACTGGCACTACTGAAAGTGGTAACTAACTTAAGTTAAAAAGCAAAATCAACGAAAACTGTTTTAAATTGTAATCAGGAATGACTGGTAAACGCAGCCAAATTAACACTGACAGTTAAGCTCAGTAGGAAATGTTTGACAATCAAATCAACAGTCTAGAACTCAAGTCAGACACAACTGGCAATTAAAAATAACGGCACTGTTTTGTATTTTTAGATCGTAGAACAAGATTTACCAAAGGTAAAATCCACATTGAAAGATATTAAGGACAACCTGACTGGCACCATTCCACTAGTATCAGCTTTAATTGATAAAGTTCAAAATGGAAACTGTCCCACAGCAAAGGTAACACTTGTAGTGAAAATAATGAACCCCAAGTACTAACAATCTGTACAGCAAAACAAAAGACTAACTCCAAAATAACAGTTTGATATCAGCAAATAGCTCTAATGAAGTGCTGGAAATAGTAGCCTACATAGTAATATTTATAAACTTGATTCCAATAAGGTATAAAACTCTTTTCCATTTAATTAGCCTTAGAAGATACAGATCAGTTGGATATAAAGCTCTATTTCATCTTAACACAATATTTCTTGTATTTTCCAGGGAGTGAGTTTTCTAGAGTTGAAATTTGAGATGTTATTGAACTACCTGATTAATCTAGTCTATGTAATGCTTCGTAAAACCAGTGGTTTAACAATTCTGGACGACCCAGCTATTGAAAGACTGGTGGAAATAAGAACGGTTAGTTTATGTTTGCTGTAGCTTAGAATTGGGATGTCATGAGCAGATTTATACACTTGCCAAAGAGAAACCATGAAGCAAAACATGTAGATCTTTTTTTCAAGATTCTGATAGTCATTCTATAGTCAGTACAGACATAAAATAGAAAATGGTCAATCCAATTATAAGAAGATTGCATGGCATGAAACTCTGAGTTACAACATGTTACAACTTGTGTAATAACACTTCTAGTTGCATAATTGATATATATTCTGTATTTTCTCTTACTAGGTATTAGAAAGAATGAGGCCGATAGATCAGACATTAAAATATCAGATTGATAAACTGATAAAAACAGCTCAAACTGGCAAACAAGGTAAATTATAACAATTTCCGTCACTGAAAGGGACATTGTCATCTAAATATTTCCTTCATGGCTGAATTCTTCTAACCTGGATACCTTGAACTATTTGCTTACATTTTTTTTTCAATCAAATATGATAAAAATAAAGTTAAATGAAGTAGAAACTAAAAGTGTCTCTAATTCACATACAATTTTCTTGAATCCTTGGAGTTGCTTGATAGCCTGGAGAAAGATCTTGGATCCTTATAATTGTTTCTTATTAATTTTCATGGTTATTTCAGATTCAAATGATCCTCTACGTTTTAAAGCCAAACCTGGTAATTTTGCTACAGAGGTAAGAACATTCTTTATAAGGTTTAAACAATATTTAGGGTAAAGATGACACAGCAGGTGCTTGATATATACACTCCAAACTATATTTAAGGTTTACTATTGATGATTCAGACAATGTAAATTGTTGAAACATTGTGTTCAGTAATATAGAATTGTAATTTTTCTGACAGGATGATGAAGGAGAAGATGAGGATGGAGAAGTGAAGAAATACGTGGCACCTAAAGTAGCTCCAGTTGCTTACAGTAAGTTCCCTAAAATAACAAATATACTAAATTAATTCTAATTATCCATGTAGACTCTCTGAAATTGATGCAAAGTTGATCAAACTTAATACCAAATAAACATTATTAGCTATGTAGGCTCTTTGAAAGAATGTGTTGAGTTGATAAACCCAAAATTCATTTCATTAAATGTAAAATTTCATTCACAAGTACATTGTAATTTTTCAATTTTTTACAATGTAAATATCTTATTTTATTTCATTGGTTTGTAAAATTTCAATTTTAATAGAAGGTGATCTGACAGCAGCTGAACAAGAAGATTTAATAAAACAACGTGCGGTGAAACGAGTGTTGAGTAGTCGAATGTTGAAAGAATTACGACACCAATATGATGATGCTCCTGAAGAAATCAGAGTAAGTCAGCCTTTATCAATTGATATTTTACTACAAACATAGTTGCAAAGAGAATACCATATTTACATTTATTAGCTATGTAAACGTTCTGAAAGGGGTACTGAGTTGACAAACCTACTTACAGAGTGGCATCAAGTGTACGAAAAGAAAACAGTGATAGTTATAGAGTATTTCCTAGAAGGGAAAAGGGAGGTAAGAACCCTTACAATCTTAAAATATTTTATTTTCTGTTAACCAGTTTACCAAAAAATTTAAATCCTTTTTTACAGGAAGCCTATGATGTTCATAGATTACGAGAAAATAAAAAAGAACGAGAAAAAACAGAGTAAGTAATCAAAAAGGGTTGTTAATGGCAACTTCTAGATACTGGAGTTCTATTCAAACATAAGTGGCTACACAGTTAAAACATCAGAACTGGAGGTTAGTCCAGGAATTTCAATGTGCATTTTTGATTTTTCACAAAAAGTCCATCTTTATTTTTCCTGAAACCCAAGTTTACAATACTATATAATCTCTACAATAATTGTATTTTTTTTGTAGATATGAAGAAGAAAGATTTTTGCGTTTACCCAGTAAAAAGAGACAAAAGGTACAATTTCTAATTTCTTTTACTTTTCAGTGGATAGTCTCTACTTGTGACCTGGGCCAGTGCTTCTATAGTAGAGTATCTCCTATAAAACCTATTACTTGTGTCCTAGGCCACTGCTTCTATAGTAGAGTATCTCTTATAAAACCTATTACTTGTGTCCTGGGCCAGTGCTTCTATAGTAGAGTATCTCTTATAAAACCTATTACTTGTGACCTAGGCCAGTGCTTCTATAGTAGAGTATCTCTTATAAAACCTATTACTTGTGACCTGGGCCAGTGCTTCTATAGTAGAGCATCTCTTATAAAACCTATTACTTGTGACCTAGGCCAGTGCTTCTATAGTAGAGTATCTCTTATAAAACCTATTACTTGTGTCCTGGGCCAGTGCTTCTATAGTAGAGTATCTCTTATAAAACCTATTACTTGTGACCTAGGCCAGTGCTTCTATAGTAGAGTATCTCTTATAAAACCTATTACTTGTGACCTAGGCCAGTGCTTCTATAGTAGAGTATCTCTTATAAAACCTATTACTTGTGTCCTGGGCCAGTGCTTCTATAGTAGAGTATCTCTTATAAAACCTATTACTTGTGACCTAGGCCAGTGCTTCTATAGTAGAGAATCTCTTATAAAACCTTATGCTGGTTAATAAGAGTCTTGAGGTCAATCCAAAAAATAAACTTTTCATCCAATCATGAATGGCCAGTGAAATAGTCAACAAAATATCTTAAATTTAGATAAGTATGATAATCAGATTGATATTTGGTCAGAAATATTATATTGTATACTTACAGGGTGCTAATAATGAACTAGCTACTCTGACATCCCTGAATAAAATAACTCAGTTTGGTGACATGTCGGCTCTTTCTGCTGATGATGGTATCTTTAAAAGGGTAAGTTTCTCCGACTAATCTGTTGTTGCTGTAATTCCTTCAGCCCTGGCTCGAAGCCGTCACTGTCCCAAATATCATTTTGTTGGATTGAAGCAAATAGAATCTAAAATAAGAATGGTATATAGAAGATATGAGTGTTCCTGATACACATACAAAAGATAGAAAACAGTCCCTAAGTCCCTTGATTATTTTGTCTTGATTTCTAAAGTCAGCGTTATATTCACCCTTAACTATGAAACATGAAAATAATAAAATGTCTATCTGTTTATAGCGAGGTGCCAAGAAGATGAAAATGACACCTGGAATGAAAAAGGTTTGTATTTATTTGTATATCGAGTACATATGTCAAAGCATTTCCAAATTAGTGCTGATTTGATCAAAAAAATTATGGTGTTCTTAGTTTATTGCCATGCTGTTGTCTTGGAAGCAGAATGATGGTTTATATGTCCCAGAAACAATTCCTAACGTAACTCAGTAAAAGACCAATCTCTTATTACTGACTAATTTATCTATTTTTCAGAAATCTAAAGGAAAAAAGACACCAAAAGGATCAAAATCCAAGTTCAAAAAAAGAAAATAATTTCACTAGTTTATCTGTAAATATTTGTAATAAAATATTAAAAAACTATTGTGTTTCTTACTCCAAGTCCAACGTCATTATCTCCTCAACATGTCTGGAAATATTACACGATTTTTCTACTGTGTTTCACTGTGGTCAGTTTATTTTCTATCAGATAATAAATATTCATAATATGATGTTTGTCATTTACAATCCACATGCCTCTATAACACAGTACAAGGGAAATCCTGTAAATAATTATATACAAGTATTATTTAGTGGAGTAGAGCCTTACCTGTGTGAACTGACACAATTTTTGCCCCTTATAAAAGTACAATTTTTCAGTTTTAATGTTTATCAAAATTTAGACTGTCAGTACTATTGTGAAGTTGATATTTCAATACATATAACATTAATGGATAAAATATGATTTACCAACAATATAAGGAAAGGACAGACTGAGGCATCTAGGCTACAAACAAAAATACTCAACAATATAACTACTCTCTCACAACATTGAGTTCAGATGATTTTTTTCTGTTACTTCACAAAGAGTGTAAATAGTCTTCCAACTGCATGCCATTTGCCATCTACTTGTAAACAACAGTATAATTTCATTCTACTATTCTACCCCCAAAGTAGTAGGGGTTTAAATTTTAGTTTATTAATGAGATGTTCCTCTCTGCTTTGATTATCCTTCACAATTTATCAAGGGTTTCACCCTTCCATTATTCATTATTCAATTATGTTATTTCATATTCACATTGTGTAGTCCCCTAGTGCCAAATAAAGTTTATATATTAGTGTTTTGTTATAAATTGTAAACAACAGCACTCAAATGTAATTGCTACGTTTAGTACAAAAAGTTCAGATTCTGAAATGTCTTATAACAGTACAGTATATAACTTAGCCAGACAGCATATTTAAATCATTAGTACAAAGAGTTCACTGCTTCAAAGTACTAAACATTAATGTTATGTAAACGTCCAGTGCAAAAAGTTCAGCGTTACTTACCGATCAATAGGTGAATAAACTGGAACAGTCGAGAAATGACGAGTTCCTTCCCTTAGCTGGAAAACACCCTGTGACGTCATCGGAATTCCCTTCTTCAACCAATCAGATTGTTTGTTTTTAAATAGACGACGACCTTCCTGCGCTAACGAGTACTTTATAGTATTGTTGAGTCGACAAATCTTGAATGGTCGCCAACTACATTCTTCCAGATATTTCTCAAATATTCACGACTTTTGCTTTCTCACTATATAAACCCGACAAAATTCCAACCTCGCCAATTCATAGAAAACTACTACGAAGTAAATTTCGAAGAAAAGCAAGCAGTGAGAAGCTTTTAACGCTAAATTTATAGCAGACGAATTTTTACCTATAGACTATAGAAGCAGACGAATAGAATTTTGTATAAAAATATTGAAGAAAGAAGAAAAGAAAAAATGGTTGGAAAAGCGATTGGAATTGATTTAGGAACAACTTATTCCTGTGTCGGAGTGTTTCAACATGGAAAAGTCGAGATTATCGCCAACGATCAAGGCAACAGAACGACACCAAGTTACGTTGCGTTTACAGACTCTGAACGTTTGATCGGAGACGCAGCTAAAAATCAAGTTGCCTTGAATCCACACAATACAATTTTTGATGCGAAACGTTTGATCGGAAGGAAGTTTACAGATGATACGGTGCAGAAGGACATGAAACATTGGCCGTTTACGGTCATCAACGATGGCGAAAAACCAAAGTTCCAGGTCGAGTACAAAAATGAGAAGAAAGTGTTTCCTCCAGAGGAAATCAGCTCCATGGTTTTGACAAAAATGAAGGAAACAGCCGAAGCTTACCTTGGCGAGAAAATCACTAACGCAGTTATTACCGTTCCGGCCTACTTCAACGATTCACAAAGATTAGCGACCAAAGATGCTGGTACGATCGCCGGATTAAATGTGTTGCGGATCATCAACGAACCGACAGCCGCAGCCCTGGCTTATGGTTTGGACAAGAATCTCTCTGGTGAGAAAAACGTTTTGATTTTTGATTTGGGAGGCGGAACATTTGATGTCTCTATCCTGGCGATTGACGAAGGGTCCCTGTTTGAAGTAAAATCAACGGCTGGTGACACCCATCTCGGAGGAGAAGATTTCGACCAAAGAATGGTGGAACATTTTCTTCAAGAATTCAAGAGAAAGTACAAGAAAGATATGTCCGGAAATCCAAGAGCCATCAGAAGATTGAGAACGAGCTGCGAACGAGCAAAACGAACTCTGTCCAGCAGTGCCGAGGCCAGTATCGAGATCGATTCCTTATTCGAGGGAATTGACTTCTACACCAAAATCTCCCGAGCCAGATTCGAAGACCTCTGTTCAGATTTGTTCAGAAGTACGATGGATCCTGTCGAAAGAGCGCTGAAGGATGCCAAGCTGGACAAGAAACAGATCCACGAAGTTGTCCTGGTCGGAGGATCCACCAGAATCCCAAAGATCCAGAAACTTCTTCAAGATTTCATGAATGGTCGAGAGCTCAACAAATCCATCAACCCAGACGAAGCCGTCGCCTACGGAGCAGCCGTTCAAGCTGCCATTTTGAGCGGAGACAAGAGCGAGGCCATCAAAGATGTTCTGTTGGTGGATGTTGCTCCATTGTCTCTTGGTATTGAAACAGCAGGCGGGGTGATGACCAAATTGATCGAGAGGAACACAAGGATTCCGACCAAGGCTTCCAACATATTCACGACTTACTCCGACAACCAGCCAGGCGTCGGAATCCAGGTGTACGAAGGAGAACGTGCTATGACCAAAGACAACAATTTGATGGGCAGATTTGAATTATCTGGAATTCCACCAGCACCCAGAGGCGTTCCTCAAATCGAGGTCACTTTCAATATCGACGCTAATGGTATTCTGAATGTGTCAGCCGAAGACAAGAGTACCGGAAAATCTAATCAGATCACCATAACGAACCATAGAGGGCGTTTAAGTCAAGCTGAAATAGATCGTCTGGTGAAAGAAGCAGAACAATATAAAGACGAAGACAACAAACAGCGGGAAAAGATGACGGCCAGAAACCAACTTGAAGCTTACGTGTACAGCGTGAAACAGACCGTCGGGGACGCAGGTGATAAACTAAATTCTCAAGATAAAGAAACGGCCTCTAAAGCTTGTGAAGAGACTCTCCAATGGTTGGAAGGTAATGCCTTAGCCGATAAGGACGAGTATGATTACAAGATGCAAGAACTACAGAAGGTGTGTTCACCCATAATGACCAAAATTCACCAAACCGGAAGTGGTGGTGGACAGCAACAACAATCAGCAGGAGGACATCCGGGGAGTAAATCTGGAGGACCAACTGTAGAGGAAGTTGATTAGATCAATAGATCTGAATTGAACTGTGATAGATGTCTGGAAATCATCTGGGATTATGCCTAGGGACATTTAATTAAAGCATTCAGACGTAGTCCCATATTACCCGGAACTGTAGATCTGTTACAGCCCTCAGATCCATTGAATCGAATCATACATATCAATAATTTGGAAAGTTAACATGGACTGTCCGAAATATACCCAGTCATTAAAGGGTTTAGATCAAATTCAACAAGATAAATAGAACTTGTGAAAAGACTGTGATAGATTGGAGATACTATCAAATAGTATAACATTGTGCCAAAATTCAATGATTAAAGTGAACTTGAAATATTGAGTGATAAATTTATGTAAGATCTGTTGAACTCTTTTTACAATTCACATTTGTAAATAATTCACTTTCAATTTTGTAAATATTTCATAAAGACTTTGTAAATATTGGGATACTGAGACCTGTAAGAATATTTGAGAAATGTTTGACAAATTACCAGTGTTTCTTGGTATTACTTGAAATTGTTTTCATTTGTACAATATTGTTGATTTGTTACAAAATAAAAAGTAAAAATAAAATTTGTAGTTGTTGTTTGCCCTATAACTGCCTCAATCTCAGAGAGAAAAGTGACCTTATGATATACTTACCTAATTGCAAACCATAAGTTAAGGACAAGCCGGTAATATTTATGATGTACAATATAAGAGTCCAAAAGCTGACCTTGGTTAAATAAGAGACATGTATATATAGAGATTATAATCTCAGTAATTATTTGTGTTCTGATAACAAATAAGCTATGTATTATTGAGTTATCTCCCATATTATCAATACTCCTCTAGCCATGGAACTTTTAAAACATTCAAATAAAATAAATATAATTAATTCAGAATATAAATATATTTAACAATATAAATAACAAAATATCACAATGTATGTTTTATATATTTTAAAGATACACACTCATCTAAATACTCAGTTTACCAGCTGATAGAGCTCAAGTTAACTATCTGTATCACTTATCATAATTCAATACAAATGGATGTAGTAAGAAATTTGATTAAGTCGCAGATACACAAGGCATGCATTTGATTTCATTCCCAAGAGCATGTCTTAAGAGGCACTGGAATCAAGTTCTACCAGCTGGTAAATTAAATAATAAGACTACTTCATATAAATTTTCAGACATTTTAAATAAATAGAAGAGCACAAAGACAGCTGTATTGACACAATAGGCCAAGATATTATTGATAATAGTATTAACAACTTTGCTAATAGCCTGGTCTCAGTATAACCTCAAGTGTTCAAGATAAGATTAACATCTGTGTCATTCTGCCCCCTATTTGTAATCCAGTTCTGGTTAGCTGGGGTCACCACTGGTACAAGATAAGCATCACATCTGTGTAATAACAACGTTAGGTAGACCATAACAAACCAGATTAAACCATGATGATTTTATCTGACTTTCAGACTCTGGTGGAACTTCTGGCACTTTCTCACTTTCTAAACCCACATCTGGGGTACCAGTTGTTCCTTTCGGATGTTTATCATCATGCTTGTCTGCATCTTTCCCTTTTCCAGCTGGAGAACTGGCTGCTTCTAGTTCTTTCGCTTCTTCTTCTGCTCGAGTCTCGTTGGCTCGTTTCTGTGGTGACATCATCAATCGTACCGACTGTCCTGTTGTTTTACCTTTCTCCAATAAATCTAAAATAATACAAAATAGTTATCATCTATGTCAACTCTTTAAAATGGAGTTATTAAAAAAGGTATTAAGTGGACTCTCAGAAAGGATGTCAAATAAACTATATTATATAAGTGGAATGTTTGAAAGGGATGTCAGGTTGACAATTCTAAATACCAAATCAACACTAAAGTTGAAACAAAAATTACACTATATATATATATATATATATATAGTGAACTCTCAAACATGTTGAAAACAGGAATCAAGTTGAAAAGAGATGAAGACCCTAATCTTACCTTTAAAAGCAAGGGTTAGTTTATGTGAGTTTTCAGCGAGCGTACAAGGCCACTGATTGGCTAACAGACACCTGATACCAGAAAGACTTGACAACATGGCCGACTCGACAGGTTTCTCTAGAGACAGATCATTGTGGCTGAAACAAGAAATAATTCAATTATAAATAAAATGGAAAAATTAAGAGAGATGGGATGAAATAAATCTTTAACTCACACTTTATGGGTGAAAATGGACTACACCAGTCAGTGTGTAATAAGGGAATTTTTCCAGACAGAGGCATTGACTTACTCATTTTCAATTTCAACTATCAACTATAGAGCCTTTAGGGGAGGTCAAGCATAGATTTTTTGTACTCATCCAGGGACAATTTCAACCATATCCTTAATCATGTATTAGGATGTGGCTGACAAGAAGATCTCACCTACCTTTTTAGAATATCAATCTTAGATTGCCGTAAGAAACTTTTATTAGTCTGAGTCATATCCAAACAAAATAACATCACACAATCTACAATAGATACAAATACAATCTACAATCAATACAAACACAATCTACAATAAATACAAACACAGTCTACAATAAATACAAATACAATCTACAGAAACACAATCTACAATAAATACAAACACAATCTACAATAAATACAAACACAGTCTACTATAAATACAAACACGATCTACAATAAATACAAACACAATCTACAATAAATACAAATACAATCTACAATAAATACATACACAATCTACAATAAATACAAATACAATCTACAATAAATACAAACACAATCTACAATAAATACAAATACAATCTACAATAACTACAAACACAATCTACAATAAATACAAATACAATCTACAACAAATACAAACACAATCTACAATAAATACAAATACAATCTACAATAAATACAAATACAATCTACAATAAATACAAACACAATCTACAATAAATACAAACACGATCTACAATAAATACAAACACAAGAACTGATGTTTAAGTAACTTCACGTGGGAAAGAATTGTTGTAACTAATGTTTCAGTACATTCAGTGAGTTCACATGGTAAATTGGTCACCTAAGAGTGCACAAAGGCAGAAATATTATAAGAACATTATAGACTAACCTGGTATATTTAAAGCTGCTAGTTTAGACGGAGGTATATAGGATAATAATCTCTCCATTCCATAAAATATAAACGAACTACTTTCTTTTAAATAAACCTCCCATTCTCCAACACTATAAATAAACCAAATAGAATGGAGTTTTACATCCTACTGTATGTATCTAATGAAATGAAATAGAGTTTTACATCCTACTGTATGTATCTAATGAAATGAAATAGAGTTTTATATCCTACTGTATGTATCTAATGAAATGAAATAGAGTTTTACATCCTACTGTATGTATCTAATGAAATGAAATAGAGTTTTACATCCTACTGTATGTATCTAATGAAATGAAATAGAGTTTTACATCCTACTGTATGTATCTAATGAAATGAAATAGAGTTTTACATCCTACTGTATGTATCTAATGAAATGAAATAGAGTTTTATATCCTACTGTATGTATCTAATGAAATGAAATAGAGTTTTACATCTTACTGTATGTATCTAATGAAATAAAACAAGAGCTTACAGTGTGCAATGAGGGAAATTTTAAAAGGACAGTGACACTGATAAAAAATTACAATAGAAAGCCTGTTACCTAGGAGAATGGTCATCTCCTGTCAATCCTAACCAGCGTGGTGTAAACTGTTGTTCATATTCCGTTAGTAGATGATTGAACAACGTTACTGGTTTATTTTCTTCTGTCTCCGCACAGTCGTCATAGCAATCTACCATATCTTATTATAGTTAAGGTCAAACAATGCTTACGGTCAAAAAGACAGCTCATACATGCACCACCCAGAACCCTCATGTTAACTAAGGCCTTGTCAATATGATAAAGGATACATCTAAAGTTCATGGTGTCGACTGGGAACTGCCAGGGTTGTATTGGGCGGTCTAACGGTACCAGTTTAGCTTGTTTCTGTTTGGCCTCTCGTGCTCCAGGAATACGTGACATTGGCTGTCCAGCATCTTTAGCTTTCTTCTTATGTTTATCTGTATTGGGATCCTCTCCTACAAATAGAAACCATATTAAAACAGTGTTAATAAAACATGTCTTTCTACAAAGTAACTTAGACACGTGGACTCTCTTAAAGAGAAGCCAAGTAACAAGCTTATTTGGAGAGTTACCATGTGTTCCGGCAGAGTAAGTAGGTTCTTTTTATACAATGTTCAATTCAAGTTATCAACAACTATTGGCCCATCTGAAGACTCTATTAATTTTAGGGACTATTTGGGCAGAAATATCACTAGGAATAAAATTTTGAAAAGGGTATACCTGCAAGAGCCTCTTGATGGAATCTATGTGAAAACATTTGTAGAGAGAAATCTCTGGAGAGGGAAGACACAGACTCAGATTGTAAACACTCTAAAGCTTCTAGTGGCATCTCTAATAACACAGGATCAGCTAGTAGTATTATACATTCTGGCGACACAACATGATCTTTTGGTTCTTTCGCCAGATTAGCCATACTACCTGTTGGTGAGGAGGTCGACCTGAAAATTAATAAACGCAAATTGGCACAAGAATGTGATATATTCAACTTTTCCCCACCTTATGAGATTAACAACACCATTCAGTGTGCAATGAAAATTGCCTAAACTCTTTTTTCCATTTTCCAGCTATCAAGGAATATTAAACGTACACTGTCTTATGTCTCTGTGCGATCTATACACTAGTAATACACCTAAAAAACCCATGGAAATTGCCCCTTTGTAATAGAACACAATAACCAATGATACTAACCTTAAAGCATTATGTAAAGGATTGATAACTGGTTTGAGATATGTTTCCATGGCAATAACAAGTTGTTGAAACTCTTCAGCCAGTCTCTGTTCTTCAAGTTGATCTTCGGCTGTCTGTACCTACATTTTAACAGAAAAAAACTTTTAACTACAGGCATAGTCTGATTAACTTCTTTCTCAAGAGGTCAGTTTAAGATCATGTTAAATACAACCTTCACTCACCTTCAAAAAGAGGGAATCATGGGACTGGCAGAATGTTCCTTTTGTACAATTTGTCAAACGACATTCCCTTCCAATGCCTGCTGATCGCAGCACTAAAATTTGCTGCCATATCTCTAAACACAAAAGGTCTTGAGTAGGAACATAAGTTTGCCCTTGTGTACAATTAGTTATTTAACATTGTGCACTTTTAACACCTGCCCCTCCCTGCTTTAATTTAAATTTTGAAATAAGAAAATCAAACAATTTCCTTCAAAACAAACCTTAGCTTCTTGTTTAATACTGTTATCAATATTTTTTAACATTTTATTTCGTAAGGCTGCCTGTGTTCTCTGATATTCCTGTTTGAGTTGTAATTGTTGAACACTCTGTTTATGAAAACGGAATCTTTCTACTAATTCTTCTAGTATCTTCGGACTCGTTTCAACACCAAATATTTTAGCTCGACTTGGAACTGAGAAATAGAAAAATATGAAATAAAAATAATAGACTTCTTACTTATCTACACTGGATTGACTACTACACCCATACTATACTGTCAATGTTTAATCCTTCAGGGTGGGGTAGAGGTGATGGTAGGGTAGGGTAGGGTAGGGGTATTGTTAACTAACCTGAAGAAGAATGATGTTTGCCGCCCTTTCCTCCTGCCCCTGTAGAACTGTGTTTTGGTTTATCTAATATAGCACCATATAGAAATGACCTGAAATGAAATATATAAATTATCTCCCTCTAACTAATTAAGCAGTTTCTACACATTTGAAAGTCAGACGATGGAAGTTTGGTTACTTTCTTTCACAACCAATGGATGAGGTTCTGACACAAAACTTCTAAGCCCGGACGAAATATCTTCCATCAAACACTACCTGTTAATGTTCACATACCCATATCCCATCAACTAGACAATTAAGTTTGTTTTCTCCATAATTTATTCACAGTTTTACTCACCTATCAGGAGAATGTTGTAAAACAATGAAATTAAAATTAGGAGGAAATTCTTTCAACAATTCTAAATGATTACTGACAACATCCAGTCTTTTCCATGCCTACAATTTAATAACAACATATTTTTATTTCAATACACGCATTTGTGACCTTGGCCAGTGCTTCTTTAGGAGAGTCTATCTTCTATAACACACACAAGAATTTGTTTACATTAACATACCTTGATACTGATGATTTGGATGGGCATGAGATCTATATGAAAGGAATTGTAAGATTTTTTTACAAACTGAAAGCTGAGGGGACAAGACTAAGCAGACGGCTGAAAGCTTTGATTCATTTTTCTAAGGTGAAATATAAGTTAGTTAATATATTGATGGGCCATCAGGTGAATGCCAGGTCATATGTACTTATGATCCAATCAAAAACACCAAGTAGTCTTTACCTGCCAGTCTTTTTCTAATGCTGAATTAACAGAAGACATAATAGTACTGGATGATAGATTAGTCTGGATATCAGAGTCTAGGATATTGTTTCGTTGATGTAATAATGCTGATAGTTTAGATGTAACAGGATCAAGTTGAGCTCGTTGTAATAATGAACCAAGATTTACTGATGTTTCACAACTCTACAGAAAGTAAAAATAAATATTTGAGCCAGTTTTATAGGCCAATATCTCTCTAAGTGGACAATGTTTATAAAATAATAAATGAGGTGGAACGGAATGATTAAGTCATGTGTCAGTCACCAACATAAACATATAGATCTTCTAGAATATTTCCACCAAGACTTAAAGGTTTAAGTGATAATGAAAGATGTTTTACGTTGTAGATTTCAGTTTCAGATTGAAATAATGAAGATGAGCAACACCAAGCAGTGTACAATGAGGGAAATTTTGTCCGGACAGCGGCATTAGCATACTCTTTTTCAATTTCTCACTGTCAAGATATCGTTCAATGAATTATGATATAAACTAAACTAAAAGACATACCTGATGTAAAGCTAGAAACTGGCTAGCTGCCATTGGATCAAACTGTCCCATTAATTCCACCATTTCTAGAGAAGCACTGCTAGCTAGTTTCTGTAATAAAATTATAAACTTTTATAAGTCTATATAAAGCCTATTGCAAACAAAAATCTTTAAATGTTAGCAGGTTGTTGGTTAAAAGAGGCTTTCCCACTGTAACAAACGTTAAATTGTTCACCCAACAACAGGGAACGTGAGCTGGGTTTAGACCGTCGTGAGACAGGTTAGTTTTACCCTACTGGTAGGGAACTCTTTACGAACAAAAATTCCAACCATTAACCAGTCAGGTAAAGATGGTATTTTATAGAAAACATTTACTTTAGCTTTGTTATAACTACTAAAATAACCCTGTTTATTCACTATACATGTTTAAATACTGTAACTGAAGCCTGTGAGAACAACCAGCACCAAATGCTGATACAGAACATATTACAAATCAAAAACTATATAAAACTTACAAATAAGTGATGATTTAAAGAAAGATTGAGAGCTTGTAGTAAACATTCACAAGCTTGTAAGAGATAACTTCTACTACTTTCATATAGTTTCTGAAATTAAACAAAATAACACAATACTGTACTGGATAAGTCATTTTTTCTTATTATTCCAGTTGACCCAGCTGTAAATTGGTGAAAGATTAAAACCAAAAAGACTGGACAAGGACTAGCTGGTAGACAGGATTCTTTCTAAACACAAAACACTTGTTAATTTTCTTTCTCTTTCTTACAACAGCTCTATTCAGTATTTTACCTGTTTTTGTTTAATCTGATAAGAATATTTAATGGTTTGTTTTGTTTCTTCTATTAATTTCTCAGATTCTACATCTTGATTTTCACCCAACTCACTCGAACCTTTCAACATCTCCTGTAAATCAAAACAAGATCATTATTGTAACAATAACAAGTATAAGTATCATATTATATTCTAATGATAAGAGAGGCACTGGCAGTAAATATGAAAGATATTAACGTACCATATGTTTATTAAGCCACTGTGATGGAGGATTAGGGTGAAGTGACTGTCCTAACAGATGTAAACATTTACCAATTGATAACAAACTCTGAAAAATAACGATATAAAATAAATAATATAGCTTTAAAAAAATCATCACGAAGAACATTTGACTAACATATACCTATCTCAATCATAATATAAAAGCCAAAGTTTACAAACTGCTCTCCATATTTCCAAAAGTCTTGTTAAAAAAAACCCAGAAAATTTTGACTTTCAATCAACTCTATGTTCAGTTATCCATTTAAGTTTTATAAAACAGTCTTGTCCAGCCTTCTATCACCTATGAACATGACAAGACTCTGCTAGAAAACAGTTGAATAGTTGGAAAATTTTTGCAGACTGGATACAACCAAATCAACTGATGGTATCTAGCAAATGCAGGTACAATATATAGACACAGCTTTATGGAACAACAATTACTAGTGAAAGTAAGATAGTAAAGTACCAGAATAATAATATTTATAAAAGACGAACCTGTGTTCGAAGAGGAATAATATTTCCTGCTAAACTATGACTGTTTATTAATAATAACATTGCTTCTTCACCAACTGATCTATAAAATAAAATATAGAATTCATTACCGTGAGCATAGATAGATTAAAATAATAAATAAGAGATGGTAATATAACCTTATTCTACATCTAAATATTTATTCAGCAAATCTCCCTTGTTTCATGTAATGTCCAGAATATTACCTCATATCTATATCAACAATTATTGTGGTTAGAAATAATAGTATAAAATATAAAAATACCGTTACTTACTGTTTAATTTCTACCCAATCTTTTTCCATGTGAGTATATTTTGGAGTTTCTCGTATATAATCTTCTACTAACTATGATGGTAAAAATACATTATGTAATTACATACAAAATGTAATTAATAAATAATTAACTGTGGTCCCTGTCCCAATCACAGCTCATTTGTAAGAAACATTTGTCAAGGGCAATAACTCAATAAACATGCTTTAAATTTTTAATTAATCAGCAATATCATTGATATAGATATAGTTGTTTCTATTCTGAAAAAAAAAGTAAAAAGAAATTCTGTAAGTAAAGTTAACTTACCAATAAAACAGATCCCTTTCTCTCGTCGTTAAGTTGTTGAACTCTGACCTCCTGAGATTGTAGTTTTAGTATATCTATTAATAATTCACCACATTTTATCTGTATCTCAACTAATTCTCTTTGTAATGGTGAATTCATACTACGTGACTGAGAAAATTAATTATAAGTTTCTATTAGAAAATACAGAATTAAACTGAGATTTCAACAGATTTTTATATTTCAGCAATCTTGGACCAATTTAACAAAATTATTATTCTTATATCTTACTTTATGAACCAATCAGATTGCTATGATTATTACAATTTGAATATTTATTTAATTGAATTTTATGAAAATCTAAGGAAATTTTCTTATCATATTTAAATATAAAACCTCATTTCTAGTTGGTAACCAAGGAAACAGAATTAAACAGAAAAGTAATTTACATCTTGAAGTGTTGCGAGTGATAACGAATCAGCAAACAGATCTTCTGTGATGGCCACGCCTTCTTTTAACACGGCTAGAGACTGAAATAATAATATTGATAATTCAAAACAGAATTAAGTGGTTTCTTTCAGGGTTTCAGTCTCTTACTACCATATTTTTGCCAAAAATAAGTACCTCTTATATCAAATTGTATTTCATGGCAAAAAATAGGCAGAAAACTTAAAAATTATGTCACATTTCATCAAAACTGAAGCCTTTGATACTTTACAAACAAATTCAGACATATTGTCGCTGAGATAAGGGCAATAACTCATCACTTTTCAATTGAAAATGGTGGAAACATTCCAATATAAAAACATAGCAATAAAAGTGTTGAAAAGCAAGTATGGTTTAACAGATGATGAGTGCAAAAACCACAATAAATAATTTGATATATAGAATAAAAGTAAATAGAGAATTAACCTGTAGTAAATAAGTGTGTTTTATTTCTGGTTCAATGGCCTCCCTAGCGATATGTTTTAATACATCAGCATGTTGTTTTATAAATGGTAACGCCTCCCGTCTATATCCTAGTCCCAGTAACTTCTCTATACTATTCTCAAATTTCTAAAAAAAACATAACCATAGATCACAAAGTTTCAACAATTTACATAGTCGACAGTTTACCTATATAAATAATATACAAATTTCAACTAGTATTAACTTTGCTCAACTTAATAAAACAAGAGAAATTACCTCACAAGCTGACAGAAGACCTTTCATAACTTTAGGTACAGTACTCTTTCTACCTCCTTCCATTAAGATAGTTGACTGTATTGTGGCCAGTCTGAAATATATATTATATTATTTTATATCACTCTACAGCTACATTTAGAGAGTCTACATAGTTAGTAATATTTATTTGGTATTTGGGTTGTCAATATATACTTTCTTATTTAAGATAAGAATTATAGTTTAACTGAACATATATAAAGGAAATTGATGGATAATATGAAAACTTGGCTAATTTAAGCAATTTTCATCTTTTTTTTCTTTTGCTTTGGGATATCCCCATCAATAAAAGAGTAGAATCTAAAAATGCAGTAAAACTTACTTAGCTTCAAAAGAAGATAATATAAAACAAATAGAACTCAGTCTGTTGGGTCGTTCTTCGTATATCTGATTAAATTCCTTCATAGCATGTAGAACAATCTTTCTAGCCTGTAAATAATAGCAATAAAAATACTTCATAATACATTAATATCTAATTAAATCAAAATCAGTATAGGCCATTACCAAAAGAAATGGAAATTGATTCTCTTACGGTTATATTTATTTAATTGTTGGCAAACTAGAAGTCACATATTAAATCTGAATAGTGACTCTGATAGCTTAATTTAAGCTCTATCTATCCCTCTCAGTGGCATGGAATAGCTCAGACGGTAGCGAGTTGGATTGTCATCTGCTAGGACAGAAGAATAGCTCAGTCAGTAGCGAGTTAGATTGTTGTCTACTAGACGATTAGGTTTTATGGGTTCGAAGCCTCCTCATGGTAAGAAAAATTCTGATGCCTGTGTCAGTGCTTTTGAGCATCAGCCCAGTGTCGATTCTCATCCCCTAATACCTCTCAGTGAAAATAAAAAACAATCAATGAAGTCTCACCACTCGTTTGTTGTTTTTATTTTCGTAATCTTTCAGAGTAGCTTCGATTATCAACATAGTGGATTTAAACCAGAACATCTCGTCTCCACATTGTAGATTCTGGGCTGACCGACACAGATTAAAACATTGACCATACTGGGCCTCGTTAAACGCTAGCTGTCCTAATATATATAATATACCTGATTCTAATTTTTTATCACCAAACGCCTGAAATAAACACAAACCTCACGATAATTATTCAAATTAATCTAAATTACCATTAAACAACTAAACTTTGATCTGATTGGTTAATCATTAAATTTGATTGGTCAATCCCTTTTTAGTTTCAGTGATCGAACTGACCACTAATTCAATACGATTCATTTGATTGATCACCTAATCAGATTACCTGTGATTTGATTGGTCAAGCACTTCATTTGATTTTGAATCAGTTCATCTGATTGGTCATTTCAATCTTATTTATTTCTGTGATCTGATTGGCCAATGTATTTGAAATGATTAAAGCTCTCCTACAATCTGGAAGAAAACAGCTGACAGATTACAGCCTTTATTTATCATTGTTTATATAGAAAAATAAGGGTTACCTGTGCTGCTAAATTAGCTTCATGAAGATATTCTCTAGCATGTTGATTATAACCTTGTCTGATGAGAACTTCTGCTGTTAATGTCCATATTTCTCTCATAGATACGGCTCCTAGAACTTTACCAAGATGTTGAACTGTTTCCAGTTTCTCTTCCTGTAGGGGGAAAATAGACAATAGTATCATAACTAATAAACCTAATGTCCTACTGTTCTTCAACCTTTTAAGTTAATGAAGGTATACAGTGGTCAATGAGGGAAATTTCACCAGAGCTAAGAATCTATAAACACTTTAGACATAGGATCTCACCTAATTTATGCTTTCCAAGGGTTACATCTATTTTTCTAAATCATTTCTAAGTTAACCTTGCAAAATCAACCCTTTAAAGTTTTGGATTTGATACATATTTTTGCTCAGACAACAAGCCCAAAGTAACAGTCTGTGATACAAACCTTATTAGGAGAGTTCATGGTTTTAGATGTTAAAGATCGTTTCTCTATCTTTCCCTCCGTAGCTAGACGAACTAGTGATTCTTTGACACGTAATTCTTCTCTTGCCACTTGGACTTGTTTTTCTTTCCATATAGCTATCTCATCTCGTGACCTGAAAGTTATAAAATAAAAAAGTAAGAAAAACAAAGCACAAAATGTCAGTTTCCAGACCTATAGATTGTAATTTGATAGTTACAGGTCTGTTTTATTCATTCTTAATCTAGTATTTTTAGGCCTTACCTTCCATCTTTTATAAAGCATGTCACAATGATATCTAAGTCTTTGCTAAACTCATGAGATTACTCCAGAAGTCTTTCTTGCTCTCTGTGTTGAGAAACATAATGAAAAGTTGGTTGGTAGATGAAGAGTTAATGACAACTTTTGAGCTGAAAGTTGATAAACCAGACTAACCTAATGAAAATTTTAAATAAAGACAAAGTTTGTGTTAACATAGAGACAAGTTACCTCGCCTGTTCCTCTTCACTGATCTCCATATTACCTACTGCCTTCTCATGGAATAGACACCCTGTTTTAATATCTAGTTCATAACACACCTCCAGAGACCTGAAATTATCAGGCAGTAACAAAATATAATAGTCTTTAGCATCTCTTTTAAAGGTTGCTGAGGTGAATCGTTGAGTTTTATTTACTTGCTAAACTAAGGATCTAGGTTTGATCCTGACAGAAGTTGTGATCATCCTTTTGGATTTAATTGATCTCCCTGTGATTGATGTGGGTCAGAGTGGCTGGCATAGAAAAAGTGTCTTGCTGTTCAGTTGGGACAATTAACCAAGGCCCTATGTGCTTTGTTTGGTAAAGAAACCTTTGATAGATGACAATAAAGATGGCTAGAGCTAATCAAGATGGCTAGATAGAGCTAATCAAAATGGCTAGATAGAGATAATCAAGATGGCTAGATAGAGCTAATCAAGATGGCTAGATAGAGCTAATCAAGATGGCTAGATAGAGCTGATGGCTAGATAGAGCTAATCAAAATGGCTAGATAGAGCTAATCAAGATGGCTAGACAGAGCTAATCAAAATGGCTAGATAGAGCTAATCAAGATGGCTAGATAGAGCTAATCAAGATGGCTAGATAGAGCTAATCAAGATGGCCAGAGCTAATCAAAATGGCTAGAGCTAATCAAGATGGATAGATAGAGCTAATCAAGATGGATAGATAGAGCTAATCAAGATGGCTAGATAGAGCTAATCAAGATGGCTAGATAGAGCTAATCAAGATGGCCAGATAGAGCTAATCAAGATGGCTAGATAGAGCTAATCAAGATGGCTAGATAGAGCTAATCAAGATGGCTAGATAGAGCTAATCAAGATGGCTAGAGCTAATCAAGATGGCTAGAGCTAATCAAGATGGCTAGATAGAGCTAATCAAGATGGCTAGATAGAGCTAATCAAGATGGCTAGATAGAGCTAATCAAGATGGCTAGATAGAGCTAATCAAGATGGCCAGATAGAGCTAATCAAGATGGCTAGAGCTAATCAAGATGGATAGATAGAGCTAATCAAGATGGCTAGATAGAGCTAATCAAGATGGCTAGATAGAGCTAATCAAGATGGCTAGATAGAGCTAATCAAGATGGCTAGAGCTAATCAAGATGGCTAGATAGAGCTAATCAAGATGGATAGATAGAGCTAATCAAGATGGCTAGATAGAGCTAATCAAGATGGCTAGAGCTAATCAAAATGGCTAGAGCTAATCAAGATGGCTAGAGCTAATCAAGATGGCTAGAGCTAATCAAGATGGCTAGAGCTAATCAAGATGGCTAGATAGAGCTAATCAAGATGGCTAGAGCTAATCAAGATGGCTAGAGCTAATCAAGATGGCTAGAGCTAATCAAGATGGCTAGATTTAAATGTTTAGAAATAAATTGAACCCTGACTTACTTGATATGATAGAGGTTTGACATGGCTTTATTGTTAAAAATACCACGAGCCATTAGATCTTGAAACGCTAAGACTGGTAGAGAGAGATGATTATAACCAAGGGCACGTAACTCTTCAGTCAGTTCTTCTAAATAATGTGACGTTAACAACTAAAAATAAAAATTACAATAAATAATCAAATCAATAATTATTAACATTATTAAATTCTAAAAAAGCTATTTGAGCCAACTTTTCAGAGCAGAAAATCTATACTCTGAGTACATTCAGAGCAAGACTGGAATAAATTGTTATTGAAAAAGACGATTTTAAAACAAAATGTCTACTTACAGGTTTAGTTAAGGTATGTGTATTGACACCATGTTTATTCATGGCCTCGTGTTTAAATGCTTCTAAAACCTACAATAATAATTGAATCAGTAACTCTGTAAAAATTGATTATAAATTTCATTTTATTCACAAATCTGATCAATATATTTCTTAAACCTTGTATTTTATTATTTATAGTTAAACTTGGTAAAACGGGACCAGGGACTAGAATCTGACAATACTTCCACGGCAGTTCTCTAATTTTTATTTAACAAATAATATTACCTCATCTGGAACATCATAATTAGCCCATTCTTCAGTTGAAACCGGTAGAACATCTAACGGTCCCTTACGTTTTGGTTTCTCTTTAACAACCTACAAATAATATGAGACATTTAAAAGCAAATCATTTTGACTAATGGTGAAAGTATTTTCTGGATAGAATTCTGTCTAATTCCGACTTATATCTGGTTCACAAGAAATTGAATTTTTGCCTAAGTGTTTCTATCGAAGGAATCAGGGTTGCAACATGCTTACCTCTTTTTCTTTGTCCTTTTTGCCTTTAGATTTTGCTGAGTTTTTACCGGACATTGCCGTTTCTGTAACAGGAACTTTGGCTAATTCTTTTAAAGTAGGTCCACTAGCAGTGATCGATACCTAGAAAAATATAAATAGATTTAAAAACAAATCATAAAGTAGGTCCACTAGCAGTGATCGATACCTAGAAAAAATACATAAATTTAAAAACAAATCATAAAGTAGGTCCACTAGCAGTGATCAATACCTAGAAAAAATACATAAATTTAAAAACAAATCATAAAGTAGGTCCACTAGCAGTGATCAATACCTAGAAAAAATACATAAATTTAAAAACAAATCATAAAGTAGGTCCACTAGCAGTGATCGATACCTAGAAAAAATACATAAATTTAAAAACAAATCATAAAGTAGGTCCACTAGCAGTGATCGATACCTAGAAAAAATACATAAATTTAAAAACAAATCATAAAGTAGGTCCACTAGCAGTGATCAATACCTAGAAAAAATACATAAATTTAAAAACAAATCATAAAGTAGGTCCACTAGCAGTGATCGATACCTAGAAAAAATACATAAATTTAAAAACAAATCATAAAGTAGGTCCACTAGCAGTGATCGATACCTAGAAAAATATAAATAGATTTAAAAACAAATCATAAAGTAGGTCCACTAGCAGTGATCGATACCTAGAAAAATATAAATAGATTTAAAAACAAATCATAAAGTAGGTCCACTAGCAGTGATCGATACCTAGAAAAATATAAATAGATTTAAAAACAAATCATAAAGTAGGTCCACTAGCAGTGATCGATACCTAGAAAAAATACATAAATTTAAAAACAAATCAGGCAGAAGACGTTGACAAAATAACTTTCCTCTTGGCATTGAATTTACAAGGAAAACAACTGAGGTTCTCAAGGATACTTTTTACACATTAGTCCTTTCCCATTTAAAACTGGGACGACAATGGCTGAAATAACAAAGACTGAATAACGAAGACTGAATAACGAAGACTGGATAACGAAGACTGAATAACGAAGACTGATAACTGAAATTATTGAAAAAAAGGTAAAATTCTACCAACCTGCCAGATACGTTGTAAATAACTATAAGCTGTGAGTAAGGTATCTTTATAACATGGTGAACCACGACCGTGAATCTGAGCTAGAATAACGTGAGCTCGGAATAAATAATCTAGTTGTTGTATATCTGTTAAATCTTCTATAGTTAGATTCATATCTCTCGGTAATACACCTAAAATACATAAAAACACAGGTCCAACACAAATATCTAAAACAAAAAACAAAGTGTGGCCTAAAATATACAAAAACACAGGTCAAACACAAATACCTAAAACAAAAAACAAAGAGTGGCCTAAAATATACAAAAACACAGGTCAAACACAAATACCTAAAACAAAAAACAAAGAGAGTGACCTAAAAATGCTTACACTAAACATTTTATGTGTATCGGAGACAATGATAGTATTTCCAATCAGACGTCTGTGGCTCTTGCAAGCCTTTTATAAGACAGATATAGCAAAGGCTCTTACACCGTATTAGCAGTTTTAAAGACAATAAGATCATTTCAATAATTACAGTAACTACAGACATCTGACAGAAAATTGGAATGATGCAAAAAGTAGGAAACCTGATTACAATCCAAGTCATATAAAACATATATCTAACCTATATCAGCTTGTTTTACCACGGGTACGTAATCTTCAGCTTTAATTTCTTTCTCAGATTCAGCCTTCTCTGATTTTATATCCACTGTTTCTATCACTGGCTTCTCCAGTTCCGGTGTTTTCGGTTTTTTAGCCGACATTCTTCCTTTCTTTTTCTCTTTCTTGTTATCTTCTGTTAAACAAATTCAAATTGATTACATTACTTAGACAAGATTTACAAAACATCGGGAAAAATTAATTATAAAATCTTGTCATGAGAACATCTTAAATATGAAAAGTGTATATCTAATTCCTTCTGAAGACATTTTGGAATGTAAAAATAACCAGGTAAAACTTACTGCTTAGATTGTTGGTGGAGTCACTCAATGCTGGAAAAAAAAACAGAAAAAATATATAAATTAAATAGGCTTCATTTTAAATACATTGCGAGGTTAAAAAGCCAAATTTCATAGTCATGGCCACATCATATGAAGGAATAGACAATGTGACATCACTAAACACCTGATAAACAACGAGAAGATGGGCTTAAAACTGCCATTTCTCAGAAACATGTGAAGTTAAACTTTATCTGATGGTATCATTAATTAGCTTAATCAATTCTGTTTTTAATGATGTAAAATATGATTTGAACCAATGAGAATGGAGGAGTTGCGATATGAGCCTCAGTCTGGATTCAATATGGCCGACGCATGGTCATATCTGATATTAAATACATAATAGAAATAAAAAAAACATAAACATCAAAATAAAAACTGACCATCTTTCTTGAGTGGTGATTCAAACTTCATATTTAATAAAATATCAACGGCCCATTCTACTTGATCTATACTATCTTCTATAGGAAACTGATTAACATACAACCACTGAGAGAACTCTAGTAGGTAATCTATCTTTAACCAGTTAGATTCTACACTCTGAAATATATATTATACATTGTACTACAAACATCATATTAACATACAACCACTGAGAGAACTCTAGTAGGTAATCTATCTTTAACCAGTTAGATTCTACACTCTGAAATATATATTATACATTGTACTACAAACATCATATTAACATACAACCACTGAGAGAACTCTAGTAGGTAATCTATCTTTAACCAGTTAGATTCTACACACTGAAATATATATTATAAAGTAGGTAATAACAGCTAGCAATAATTGTTAGACAAACCTGGGTAGACAGTTATTGTTTATTACAATAAGTCCTCCTCAAGCTATGGGTCTACATGACATATTTAAGAGTAAAACTTACCGTTAGTGCTTCTATTGCATTCTGATAAGATGAGAGCTGTTCAGCTGTAACTTTAGAACTTAAAGCAACACGACGCCACATGTGAGCCACATAATCTTCACTCTCATCCTACAAAATAATACACAAATCTTACAAATAATACAATAACATGGAAACAAAATATATCAATATATGGGATGATTTTTAATTAGTCTGAAACCAACCTTTGACAGATATACTAGACTCTTATAGTTTTATTTCACAGTTATTTCTGTTCCGTAACGGTTTTTTGACCTCTGAACTTCCTGATAACTTTCGAGGTAATGTCAAAGATAGCTTAATTTTTATATCTGTCTGATTGCTCACCACAAAAAAAATCAGTTTAACCAGGTTTGAAGAACAGTTGATAGTTAAGCTGCATTAACTTTATTTGTCTGAGTATAATAATTAAAAGGGGCTCTCTGATTATGATGTAGAGAAGAATAAAAACATGGTTTAAACAAGAGAGTCCTATATATCATTCACTGCGGCAGTTGATGGAATTGTTTACAATCAAGGAGAAGAAGCAACATAAAATAACGAACATACAACAAAGCAAAAAGAATAATCAAATAAACAAATTTACAAATTGAGAATATCAAATAATTTAAAATGAATTGAAGAGAGTAAAAAATTCAAAAGGATTTAGCAGATAAGACAGTTTTCTGTAGATCACAAGCTGATAGAATTTTTCATGTCGTGTCTGATGTTCAGAGGCTGTAGCATGCAAGAAACCATGTCAAGTTATATCAGATCTACTCATACAATCTACATGCATTCTCATGCTTAAAACATTCAGTTTTATTTACCATAAAGTCATCTAAGATTTCCTTTTTGATAGAGAAAAAAGAACAATATGATATAATTACAGGGTTTTCATATATCTATTAAATAACAAGAATTCTATTCAAGTTTAAATAGAAGGACAGAACCTGGTAAAAACTTGGTAGAGAATTGGTAGGAGATGATATTTTATATCTGTTGGTATTCAATCAAAAAATTGTGCCTTACCTTGAATTTCTGTATATCCATCTGTACGTCCTGACCTAGCCTCGCTTTCACCATTACACGATGTTTAAATATCAACCTGAAAATATACAGGTGTGGGTCATGTGTAAGTTTGTGGGGGAGAAGATGGTGGTGGTGGTAGTGGCTCAGTGCTGTGCCCTGTCAGATTAGGGGGAGGGGGATGGTGGTAGTGGCTCAGTGCTGTGCCCTGTCAGATTAGGGGGAGGGGGATGGTGGTAGTGGCTCAGTGCTGTGCCCTGTCAGATTAGGGGGAGGGGGATGGTGGTAGTGGCTCAGTGCTGTGCCCTGTCAGATTAGGGGGAGGGGGATGGTGGTAGTGGCTCAGTGCTGTGCCCTGTCAGATTATGATCACTTTGTATTCTTGTATCATGACTAAAGCTACTGAGAATTTTCTGTCATACATTAAAACGTAGTATTACTAGAAACAATGAGTA